CAAAAAACAATCTTTCCATGAAATGCAAAATTTTAATTTTAGAATCCTACATCATTTATTCGTATAAGTTTACTTTTCCTTATTGATAGTGAAGCGATACAACAAATTGGATTTACATATTGTTCAACTGAAATTGCTTGTTGGTAATTAATCAAGAAGTCGAATAGTCATTCATACAATTATATATTTATTTGGACTTCTTCCTTATTTTTTCGAGTGATTACAAAATGAAAATTGAAATCGATCGCATTGAAGCAAAAATGATTTGATGAAGAAAAGATTAGCAAAAACAAATTTCAACTTTATTTGATAACAAACAACACCGAATTTCGTGAATTGATAAAAATAAACCTGATAAATCACCCAAGGTAAGATAAATCATCCAAATTATTAAATTGAATAAATAGAATAATCAGCAAGATTGCTTGTCGCAGCAGAACCCGGTATATCATTTATATTTTTAAACTACAGAATATTATTTAATATATAGCAAAATTGAACAAAACTAAATGAGTATATTTTTCTATATATCAATAAATGATTTTCCTTTTTAATGAAATAAGACCTAATCCAATGAAAATATCCAGAATCATGTTTTCCTTTCTTTTACAACGTTTGTCCAAATAGAGAGAAGCTTGAGTTCTAGAAGAGTGAAGAAAGAGTAGGATTAGAGGGACTGGACAGTACATTTATCCTCTCTGAATGCGAAAAGATCAGATGGTCAAGTCCGGTATAAACAATTGCATGTCTGTGTCACGCATTTAGTAAGCACTAAAAAGAAATTAAGTTTGAGTAGTTTGAAATAACGGATTGAAACCGGAAATTTTTATGGAAATTACAAATAAATATTACTTTACAAATAATGTAATGCTTTATCCAAGAATTTTGGAAAAAAGTTTTCTTTATAAGAAAAAAAAATAGACAATTTCTAATTTAAAAAAAGCACATACATCGGTCTAAGCTTTTCGAATAATACCAAATTATTTCAAAATGAAGAAAGTCTGTCAAATTGTTCTACAAAGTTACACCTTTGACTTGTTGAACTGAAATGGCAATACAGAAGCATACAGAATGGCTTTGGAAGAAAGTCAACGCGCGAAATAAATCGTTGTATGATCTATAGCAATGCCATAACCATTTTCCTAACTGATAAAAAGGCCTTTTAAGAGAAATGGTGGAGAGATAGTTTAAATGCAATAGGCGTTATCTGAGGAAGGGACTCCGTAGCAACGACTTTACTTTAAATAAACTAGCAAAATCATCAACGAAAATTTGAATCAACTAGGTAGTCAATTGGTAATGTAAGTAAATAAGGCTCTTTTTCTTTTTATTCTTCATTTATAAATATATCTATCAAGTAAATTAAAATTTTGATTTTCTTTTTTTCTAACCTATGATTGATCGAAGAAAAAAGCTGCTAACTAAGTCGGAGATTTTTTCCATCAATCTCTTTTTCATTTCCTTACCTGTATAGCAAATTCTGAAGAGAAAATTGAAGCAAATGATCACTCATTAATCACAATTTAATCTTTAAATTTATTTTGAAACAAGAAATTGATGAACAGTTTATCGTGCGAATATTAAGTAAATTGTCAAAAAGGAGAAAGCAATGAAAAGATGCAAAATGCGCACAGCTGAAGTAAATTACTCTCATTGGCAAACAATACTATAAGAGTTACACTACTCAACCCAGCCAAATAATAAATTGAAAAAGAAAATTTTTATTTGCATTTGAAATGAGCACACAGAAACCATTGTGATACGCGGGTCGTAAGAATATTTTGAAGCTTGTCATCTGTATTTTAGAATGAAAGGTCATAATTGTGTTTGAATTATATCACAGAGTTCGTGAGCAATTTACGATTATCAAATTGCAGCATGAAGAGAATAGCTCAGACAGTTGTCAAAAGCGACAATTTAAATTTGAGCTTCAACAATAGCATTTACAAAATTAACTTTCTTTCAACTAATAAATAAATTAAAATGAAGACCTAAAATGTTTTTAAAAAAAAAAAAGAGAAAATGTCATTTGCAAAAAAGCTGTCTCTACTGAGGAAGATTATTGTTATTTATCATTACTAACACTAGGTAGGGTGCAATATCGTTCATTCCTGCGATATATCGGCAACAATTTTCTTCTCACTGAAATTTAAACAGCCGTTTTCCCTCTTCAGTTGTCTCCTACTACTGCTACAATTACCGTTGCCACTCACGGTGATACGTTGCTGATCTTCACAGAGTTCCTCAAATACCTTTAAAATAAAAATATTTTCAAGATACCCATACTTGGCTAACAATCACCTAAACTTAATAGCTAATGTGAATCGCAATTGAATCGATCTGGGCTGAAACTAAAATAAATCTCCTGATTCTATTAGTTTGAAATGTTACAAAAAAATTACACTCTTTAATCTTCTTCTCCTCCACTACGTTTTCCTTTTCCTGCTGACAAAAAGCAAAAATTATGCATAATACGATCAACATCGAATAATTAAATAAAATGAAGTTAATAGAGATAAAATGAAATGAAATTAAAATGAAACGAAGGATATACTATACCTCTTTAGGAACATCCATAAACTGATAAACAAGTCGTTGCCCATCCACTTTTTGCAATATTCCACGTTGATAGTAATATCTCAAGAAATAATAATTATATTTACGATAATATTCGAGAAAAAAATAAAATGTATATTTTATTAGATTAATTTAAGATTGGATAAAGTTACAATATGAGAGTCAGGATGAAAACTTGAAGAGTAAGGCTTTTTGAAAGCAATTATCGCTCTTAATATCATTCGTGTCTTCTAATGAATAAAGATTTTCAACATTACTCTTTCAAATTCCTGAATTTCTAAAATTAAGATCTTGTTCGTTTACCCCTTTTCAGATATATACAATGGATAAAGATCCAATGGATACCTAAGAGCTCGACCCATTGTTTCATAATTCATCCCGGGCTTATTCTTATGCAAACCCCAAAGACGTGAAACAGCCTTCGAATCGACCAGTTTAAAAATTCCTTTACTATGATCCAGCCATTTGATATATTTTGGCGAATATTCCTTGTTTTGAAGCAAACGCAACAAAAATTCCCACAAATAATTTACTTGTCCTGAAAAGGATAATTTTCAAAAAACTAATACACATCTATTCATCGCTCTTATCACACTTATATTGACCGTATTAATGATGAGTGAAATGAATTCATTCCGTGGCGATCTCTCAAATTGTAAAATCATCTATCATCGATAGTGGAAAGTAACCGCGTGAGATTGAGAATATATAATGATCAAAAATGTGAAAGCTAAAAAAGTACAACCTTCGCGACTTTTGCGCCTTCCAGTGCCAGAATGATGAGGCATTAATGGCGTAGGTTCACTATATCGACGACCCATAAACATTCGTGTTGTCTGTGATGGATACGGTGAACAGAAGAGTGGACTGGGAATTGATACTGTTGAGGGAGTGCCTAAAAATAAAAATCAAACGGTACAATGAACTTTTTCGAAATTTGAAAATTTTTGCAAAAAACTCTTTTAAATAGTTTGTTCAATAGAGAGCTAAGCTATTTTCCTACATAAAAATAAATATATCGAATAATATAACATATAAAATCAACCATGGAGAATGTGGAAAGTACGGGATGAAATGAGATCAGAGAAATTGTGGGTAAAATAAAGGAAGGATTTACTTATCATTTCTAATGTGAAATAATTTATGAAGGAAAAAAAAGATACCAGGATGTGGCGGAGTTGCTCCATGCAAATTAGTACACAACGCATCCTGCAATGCAGAATGATAAATATATGCTGATGATCGAGGCGTTAATGTCGCAGCACTCGGAGTTGATTCACCTTTCATGCAATTGGTTAAATCAGTTGGAGTGAAGTCGGTATGGGACCAATTTGTAGAAGTTACTGCTGCTGTTGGTTGATAAAAAAGTGCTGTTGATAACCATGGTGATAGAACTCGAGCATCTGCAAGTAAAATATCTTCTAGAACCTTAAAACTTCTGTATGAAAATTTGCAATCAAATAGAAATGTTGAGTAATATTTTCGCATGAGATAACTCAGTTCGAATTTTTTCAATAAAATAGATTATTTTTAGTTTCTTCATCTATTTCACAAGATTTTGCATATTTGTGAGATTTTGCAGACTGTTGGAAAGTTAAAAAGTGTCGGATAATGAAATTAGAGATAGGAGATCCGGAGAAACTTGAAGGAACATTTGATGTTAACCTGCATTCAGGACGCGTCTGAGTACTCAATTGTCTCCTTTCCTATCTGCGCACAAAAGGCGTACTGTTAATTGTTCCGTAAAAATCACGAAAAAGGTAAACGAAGTGTAAAATCACGAAAGGTAAACGAAACAGTTTACTGGGAGAAACAAATTACGACTCTCATTACAACTACTTCACGTAACCTTCCGTGTCACTGTTACTTTTTGCTCTTGATCTTCGACTAACTTCGAAATGCTTAATCTAAGTCGTATGTTGAAAAATGTTGTAGATAGAAATATGCTCGGACACAGAACGTGTCGTCATGTGAAATTATTGTACATTTGCATCGCTCACACATTTTATTTGTTTGTATATTTGCATCACTCACAGCATGTTTGTAAATTTAATCTGCCTTTTCAATTTCAAAAGCAAATATCATAAGCATTCATGACGAAATGTTTGAAGAATTCGAATTCTTAATTTACATATGTGAGAAAAATCCACGATTTGACATTGAAGGGAATGTTATCAAGCTTGTCCTTTTCTCTTTCAAAAGAAAGTTTTCCTTATGTTTGTAATAAGAATAATTTCAGCAGTGATAATTAAAAAAATAACGCATCAAAATTAAACTATAATTTCCGCCATCACTCCGTGTGAAAGTGGAGCAGCATGTTGAAAAAACTCTTCATATCCATAAATTAATCTTCCGCATTCGCCTTTTGATTTTTATTTTAAGAGAGATTGTGGAAAAAGAAATTCCATCGAATTCATTTTGCCCATTTTATGAGATGTCGGCTAATTGATGATATCAATTGTTGTTGCTGTTGTTGGTTTTCTGCTAGTTATTTGATTTATTGTTAGAAGTGGATTAAAAAAAAATCCAGAAATTTTAAAATCCCAGTTTGAGCATATGTTATTTCTTATTAGTGATATCAACATCCCTGGCTTTAATCCTCAGGATTTACGGCTATCAGACAATTCGTAGAACTTTTCAAAATAAAAATACTTCTGAAAATTTTTTCAAACTAAGTTAGATGACAAAAACTGAGAGTGTTGTCGAATATATGCAGTGATATCTGAATTTTACTAAGATTTACTTGATGTTGCATCTGCTACATTTATTTGAGAGCTCGATTAATTGGATTATTTTAACTCAAGTTAAATTTAGAAATTCGATTTTAATTTTCCGTTATTTTATCTAACATTAATGCACAGAAATGAGTATTTTTTGGTCTCATTCAGATATGATATGATATATTCTAGAATTTTTATCTAATAATTTGCATTAAACGTGTTGGTTTTTTGCCCATTTATCCATATTAATGTACCAGTCCGTGCGGCACAAAGTTGAAGTAAAAATTTGACGGGAAACCCGGAACATGTAGAAGGAGGGAGTAGCAAATCATATGAGAAACACATTTTACCAATTCAAATGCGAAAATGATGATGATGAATGAGAAGGAGGACTTTTTTGAGGAAATATGATGAGATAAATGAGTGAATTGCGGATGGAATGGTGGATGAAATGAATGAGACGAAGAAGGATGACGAGAAGATCCGTAAAAATGAAAATCACTAATAAACAGTATTCATATTATATCCCGGAAAATGCATACATGCATGGATTTTTCATATTGAGGAAATTAAATAAGATGTGAAAAATTATCAGGTTAGAAGAATATGGAGAAGTATCAATAAAAGCATTCTTAACTGTCATCACTGATCACCCAATTTGGGATAAACGAGGTAGAACAGGATTCGGATGAGAGGAGCAGGAAGGGGAATATTTAAAACGTCATTGTTTCGTACGCTTCATTAAATAAACGGTATGATGATTTTTCCCTTACTTTTTTTTCTTTCTTCAAATCAAACAATATCCTCAAGCTCTTAAATATCCTTTGAAAAATTATCCTCATTTTTTCCTCTTTTTTAAATCCGGCCTAAATTATAAACGAATATGATAACCGAAAAAATTGAAATGAAGAACAAATTATTAGAATTAATTTCAAATTAAAAAGAGATTATTAAACTTCACAAGGTGAATTCAGCTAAATTTGAAATAGCAAATTTAGAAGAAGAAGTAATCTTCTTCAATTTTACTTAGAATAATTGAAATTTGAGATTATTAACTTCAAGCATGCTTAAAAGTAACTTGTAACTGCTTAGGTGTTCTTTATAAGCAATTACAAGTTACTTTTAAACATGCTTGAAGTTAACAATCTCAAATTTCAAATATTCTAAGTAAAATTGAAGAAGATTACTTCTTCTTCTTCTAAATTCCTATTTCAAATAGGATTGATCAATTTTTCACAATAATTTTCCAATTTTGCAATAAATCATTAAATTAATATTGTTTTTACACTTTCAGCAAGAAAAAATTGTTTTCACATTTTCAGCAAAAAAAACTGCCTGCAAATTAATGTCCATTGTAAGGCAGAAAACTTTCACTCGATATTAGTTTGCTTAAAGTTAAATAGAATGAATGAAATATTTTCAACTTAGTTTGTCTCAAATTGTTTTCAGGCAAGAACAGTGGAATTGACAAAATTTATCATTTCTTTCCTTTTATTCAAGAATAATTAAGAGTTTTACTTTGGCGGATGGAAACGATAATTCATATGAAAATTTAAAAATATTGCTTCCCTTCCTTTCATGGTCATCATTCTTACATCAATCCACTTCATCATATCATCATATTAACATCATCCTAATCAGAATATCAAACGTTTGTCCCAAAAAAGTTCAATGTGAGCACATTGTAATGTCACGTCTGGAGAAGTCATCCAATAGATTTACGGGGAAAAAGAAACAAGGCATGAAAATTGTAACGACATTCCTCATTGGAGATAATGAAAACAAGGTCAATCGGTCAATGTTAAAACATTGGATAGGCTTTGCTCCTTATTGTACCTGCCTGTTACCATTATACGGATTGGATAAGATGGTAGCAACACTGATCCTCGTTCCCTATTTTCTCATAATTATTACTCACCAAAATGATTGAAATTTATGTTCCAAAACTTGGACGAAACCTTGTCATAAGAATTTCACAAGTTGACCTAATAACATGATGGATATTTAAAAAGCAACGCTACATGTCACATACACAGATGACATTTGTATGGATATAGCAAAAGAAGTTTTTACAAAGAATTTCAATAAATCCTCAAACGAAATTTCAGCAGAAAGTAACACTGAAAGGCATATTATGGGAATATACAACTTTAGAAGTTAAATATAAATAATTTGTTACAATAGTATTGACCTTTGACTTTAGCTAAATTAAAAGCAAATTAGCATTTTCTTGCAAAATATGCAAGTATCCTTTTCTAATAAATTTTAACCTTTCAATTTAAACGGAAATAATAATAATTTACAGGTAAAATTAATGCAAAATCTTTGGTGATTAAAGCCAAGAATATTAATGGTGAATAAAGCCAAGGATCAATAAAATCTTAGCATACTTATTTCCTTTTTCTTACGAGATATTTCTTCAAACACAACATTTTACATCTCCAATTCATTTATATCTTTTCTCCATTTTGCCCTGTCTTCTCTCATTCCGCTACAGAATGAAATAACAATTTAATGGTATTTAATAATAGAAAGGACAATAATTATTACATCAAAAATTATTACCGACATGATTGTCTCACCTATCATTACCATTAAATAATACAGGGAAAATCATCAAATGGACGTTGTTATTTTTATTATTATTATTGTTTCGATTATCTTTCAAAACTTTTTCGTCGTATAAATTATTGTTGTTTAATTTGTTTGAATAGAACACATAGATCTTAATTTGAAAGCCAAAAGAAGAAGATTTTGATGGAAAAGACAGAGAGAGAGAGAGAGAGAGAGAGAGAGAAAGAGAGAGAAAGAAGTAAAAAAATGATAACAGAGAAAATGCTTGAGGAAAAGATGTGTCATTTCTGGGATTGCATCGATAAACATTCAATAATACAATTTACTCAAAAAAAGAACCGAAAAGTCACATTTTTCTCCATTTCCTCCCCAACACTCTTTGTTTTCTTCTTTTTTTCTTTTTTTCCTTCAACAACAACAAATTCACAGCTTCCTCAAATAATTCGTAAACGATGACGACACTAACAGGTACTGAGCTTTTCAGGATTCTGATCAGAATTAGAGCAAGGATAGGGAGAGATGAGGAAGAAGAAGAGTAAGCGATTTTCGCCGAAACGGAAATCTTGCACCCCTAAGTTCTTTTAATTGTTGACAAAAAAAAATTTCTTCTAATTTGACGATAATTTTCTATCAAAATTTCTATTAATTTCTATTACATTTTATTCGGAGAAGAGTGATTTTCAATGATGAAGACATATGCATATAGTGTTCAAACATATGTTCCTTAAGTTTTTTACAAGCTTATTTAAGGAACTAATTGATACATTTCTTCCTCCACTCTGCTCGTTTATCAACCAGAGTCCACGGCCTTGCAAATGATACCTTTAACCTATGATAACTCTATAGGATACAGGTAACCCGAACTTCTCATTAAATCATTTTTTCCCGTGGAATTTTGGGAAAAAATCGTTTAAAACATGACAACAATATGATAGGAAAGGATTATAATTCGCATTATTATTTTTATTATTATTATTCCTTTCTATTTTCCTCTTTTTGCGCAGAAAGAGAAGGAATGTTATGTGTGCAATTCCTTCTCCCTGCAAGAATGAAAGATGAATCATTTCGGAGTGCATATAATACATACACGTATGTACATATTTTAATGCGAAAATTATTAAAAACAGCTTCACTTAAATTTTGAAAATCCCTCTTTTTTAAGATTCACAAAGAAAAACCTGTATTTTTCAATGTGTCCCACGCCATCATCCCACTCCCCTTCTTCCTCTTTCCACATTCGTTCTTCTAATCGGAAGAAAGGAATTGGAAAATGATTAATTTTAATTTTTGAGGGGTTTGTTGTATATTTGCATACCTTAGCGCAGAAAGGCAAAATCAAAAGGTTTAAAAAAAATCAAAAAACCAAAGCAATGCAATAAGTGATGCCATAAGAGGACTTCAAAAAAATGCGATAATACTCAATAAAATTTCAACTCTTTTCACATATCGGAAATATGGTTAGGTTTCTATTTGAAAGTGAAAGAATCGAAAATCCAACCTCTGAGCCATTGCCATGTAGCTAAAATTGATGGTGATGTTGGTGCTTGAGCAGTTGGAAAATGCGGCGGTATTGTCGCAGGTGGAGTTTCTGATTGGGATGTGGCAGCAGTACCATCAGCATTAGGAATACTTGTAGAAGGATCAAAATTGAACGTTCCTACATTTTCTTGCATAATTCGTTGCTTAGCTAACAGTTTATGAAGTAGGATTAAATTATCGTGTAGCGTTAACGAAGTTGACTTCGGTTGCTGCAGTGATAACAAATATTTTTGAAATTTTCGATTTTACTTGAAAATTTATTGGAAAAATTTTATGTAAATTTTACTCAAAACGTGCATCATACGTAAATTGAAACTTATGTTGGATTTGTATTCATGTACTTTGAACCCAGCTTTGTCATTATGTAACCGAGTCAAGACATTCATAAAAATCATGAAAGTGAGATTATCTTATGCAAGAAGAGAAATATATCTAATTAACCCACAATTTATATCATACTTCCAATTTTATCTGTTCATTTCCTCAGGATTTTTCGCTTTTCAACAAATTCTTTTTGGAAAACCGACAGCAAAAATGAGCCGAAAAATATTCGTTGAAAAAATTCCTCAATAATTTTGGAGCAAAATTTGGTCGGAATATATACTCAAAATTAAATATATCACACGTATATATATCATGCTTATATTAAACTGTAAGCAAATTAAAGAAAAACGATCAAAATCCCACTTCCATCCCACATTTATATTTGTTTTAAGCTCTAATAAGGTTAAAAATAAAACTGATATAAATCAAGTCAAGCAAATCAAGAAAAATTCTAAAATAAAAAAATCGTATTTAACTTTTGAGATTACTGAAAACCAAAATTTTTGAAAAAAAGCACATTGGTATTTCCGAAGTGAGAAAATAGAAGAATTAAGATTACCTGATCGGGAAATAATGAAGGAGTAGACCACAAGCATGCAGGCGCAGATGTACGTCGTGCCGAATTTGGATATCGAGCTCGCGGTCGTTCAATCCGCGGTCTTTTCTCTTCCAGTATTCGATCCTGATTACTCAAATTATTAACATCGTTATCATAATTAGTGCTATGGATTCTTAGATCCTCACCACTGAAAGGAACTATCGGATCAAGGATTTTTGAACTTTGCAAAACAAATGATGGCGTCGTTGTATGTGTTGCCGATCGTCGATGCTGTTGTCGAACAAGAGAGGAAGAATAGAGTGAAGATACCAAATGCTTTGCTTTTTCTTGGAAACTTCCCGATCCGCTCTCCACTTCCGGAATATCTTCCTGAATACTGTTTACTGAGTTTGAATTGACACCGCTGTCCGACGAATTTTGAGCCAATTTACAAGCAACAAAAGCATGCCTTCGTCTTGATATTTCAACTGGTACCGTAGAAAAACGATGATGAAATGATGGAAATTCCGGACGATCGACATTCGGTATAATTGTCGCTGTTGCATGCTCCTTTTTCTCATCAATAAAATCAGTGAAATCCTGCTTAATGGAGGTACTTGATCGCTTTGCAATATCATTACCGTCCCCCTCGTCTTCTTTTGCTTTTTTCAACAACAGATGATTCCTTCTCCTTCTGCTATTACTGTTATCATTATTACCATTATCACTATCATTACTGCTTATCATATTGTCAGCTTTCTGTATTGCTTCTGCTTTACCGATATCCGGATGATGAAGAGAAAGTGAAGAATCGAAGCCTAAGTCGTGGTAGCATTTTAAAAGATCTGCAGGTGATTGTTGCAATATAGGTTTTTCTATTTCCATTCCACTTTCCCTAAGAAAGTCAACCAGAGGAAAATCTTGCAACCTGATAAGCTGTATAAATATCAACAAGGCACTTTCAGTCGTTGCTGGTAGCTAAATCACAACAGACAAAGAAATAACTCAATTTCAACCATTACCAAAATGTGAACCGGCAAATTTCAATTTACTAAATGAGTGACGCAATTTTTAATCACGTACCAATTTCAGATTAGTCAGTGAACTGACGAAAATTACGCAATGTTTTTGAGAGAGCTTGCAGGAACAAATTGAATACGGATATAGTAAACTAGTTTTGCTGGCCACAAAAGGATTTTAGATGTTTAAATAATGGCGATAATTTTCACCGGAAATGTTGCCTTCTTTAGATATGTCAAAAAGTTGATAGGAACTTTTTGGCAATGCGGCTATCTCTGAGTATAGAAAATAGTTATTAAAAACACCACTCAATCACTTACTAGCAGGGACTTGATGACTAGTGGTTTCCATTGTCATCACCGCCATTAGCGTCATCGAGACCACTGAGGAAGGGATAATGGGAGACTTCTGGAAGATACAAAGCACCGGTGTAGTAAAATACAAATAGTTAAGGAGGGAGAAAAATGATGCCCGCCCTCGGCAGGATAGAAGTGACCAGAACTGCCCAGGACCACTCCCCTTTTGCTACAGAAGATATAGTGACCGATACCGGATTTCATGCCTCCGGCAGCAGCATTGAAAACACATTGGGAAATACCTTATTCATACTTCCCTCCTACATTTGGTTTATTTTGCTGTGAACAGTTCTGACACCATATCATTACCTTTTAAATATTACCAATACCAGTAGTTTTCGAGGTTTTAGGGAATGGAAGATGGAAGAGAGAGGCAGGGAGAGGGGGTGCAAGAAAGAGGAGAGGAAATTTTAGCAAAATCAACGCAAAGGGAGCTCTTCTAGTCTACAAATCGTGACCATTGGTTACTTGAAATACTTCTAAATGTCTTATTTTCTTTCATTTTCCTTCTGCTTTAGCACTAATGTTTATTTACTCCAAAATATTTCACAGTAATAGTATAGTAGTAAAGAATGTACAGTTCTGAATTTATTTCGCTTCATATTTAAAAAGTAAACAAATATTTGATTTTAATCCAGTTGGTTTAGTTGATTTGTTGAATGTTTGCGTCATTTGCATGTCGTGAGCTTCTTCTCTCTCCCTCTTTCCGATGATGTCAAGCTTGTTCATTACTTTATTTCGCGTATTCATTCATTCCTTTCCTTTTCTTTCGCCTTTTCCTCTTCATTAGTTTGTTCAAATTTCAAAAATGAAAAGCTACTCTCTTTCATTCTTATATTTTCTTTGTTTTCTTCTTTTATCTCATCCAATTCTTGAACTTTTCTTGCTTTTTTCCTTCTATTCTATTAAAATGAAAAATGAAAGCACCGTATACGATCATCACGACTTCCAATCAAAGCACGATAAGAGACAGTTACCGTTTTACTATTACTACTATTGCTATTACTTTCACCACTCTTACTACTGTTTCTTTTGTCCATTTTTAAAATTCGCACTCCACCGAAAGTTTCACCGGGTACTTTTAAAACTTCGATAATTTCCATTCTGGAAATCTCCATATCCATAATATCTTTCTTCATCATATCTCTCAATCCTTTAATAGCTAACAAAGTGCCAGAAGAATCCTGAATAAAAAGATATCCTTCGTTAGCCAGAATTTCCGGTGGTCGTGGAAACGACCCTACTCCATCAATTCGTATATACCAGAGCAGTTGAAGAGTATCTGTTTGTAATAAGAACAGCGAAGAAGCTTGAGTTACGATAATCGATACGTTAGAATTATTAGTATCATCCAGAAATAGTACCGGTGCTGCGAAAATACATTCCAGGATATCATATTGATACATCTGAAATGGAATTTCTCGTTTAAAAGAAAGGTCACATTTAAAACTTAAATGCAAAATGCTGTTAAATTTTATCTTTTCGAAGTAGCTAACGAGACAAAAGAAAAGACAATGAGGAACATGAAAGATTTATATTTTACGGTCCTCTCAATGATGAGTTATAAAAAGAAATAGGAAGTTCGAAGAGCTAGCTAATTGTAAAATTTCAAGAATTTCCACTCAATTTTTCCACATGATCTGGAAATCTTTACGGTCAGTCATTAAGAGTAACCCTGTTGGCAGTACTATTTGTCAAAACTCTCAATGTTTTGGATTATTTCAAACTGAAAACAAAAAGTTAATGAGGAAAATCCGTCAATAAAAAAGTGAAAATTTTCAGAAAAAAGATAACAAAAAGATAAAAATTCCAAGAGAAAATTTTGATAAAGAAGAGGGAATATTTAAAAACTTTAATGCTCCTAAAAAAATAGAGAGAAGCAAAAAAAAATTTCTGTTTGCCATTATTAAAAACATTCGAGGATGAACGGGACGCTTTTCAATCAAATATTGTCATAGACAAGTAATTCACTACTATACATATCTCTTATTTATTGTAAAAGTGAAATGATATAAAATTTTTTTCATTTGTTTCTTAAAGATTAAAGCAGACAAGAACGAGTCCGCGCAATCCGGTCCTCTTCTTAATATCCAATCCTAAAATCTAATTATCTAGGTAGATCGATCCTACAAAACAGAACTGCGTAAATCATAATAATATTCAGCTTTAAATAAAAGTAGTGTTACGAAAATTTTTGAATTTCATTTTTTTCATCCATTAAAAAAAATAAAAAATAAACTAACATAATGTTTAGGAGAAATCGAATTTTCAGAGGAAATTTTAATAATGGGTACAAGTCATCAGCTGTCAAATTTATAGCAAAGTTTGATATTTCATACACATAAAATTATGTAGACAATGAATTTATATGAAAACTTAACAATGGCGAGGGAGATATATCATGGTTAAATGAGAATATTTTTAAGAAAAATGGAAAAAATACGCACTATATGTCCAGTTCTTGTGTCGCACAATGTTACTAGTCCTTTAACATTTACAACTAATACACGATTAGGTTCTATAATGCATAAATTTGCAAATATTGGTGCAGCTAATTGAATTTTCCATACCGTATTGCCAGTGTTCTGAAATGGATAATTATTCGTTCAAGAAAATTATTCTCTACAATTTAATTCACATCTCATATTTCAACGTAACAAGTTAAAATCAAACTAATACATAATGCCTAAAACGTATGCATTAAATCAAACGTTTAAATTATCAACTTTTATATTTATTTCACGTTTTTATTCGATAAAGTCTGTGCAAATTTACATCAGAAATTCTTTTTCAGTACAAAAAATATAATTGTTTTGCTGAAATATCTTTTCTCATAATCAATATATTATCACAATCCAAGTAAGAAGTTTCGTCTATTTCATAAAGGTGTGCAAAAAAATGATGCGAATTTTTTTATCGAGAGTAAAAAATAACTTTTCTTTGAAGACGCCACTTCAATAAAGTTTTTATAATGTAAAAGCTTCTAAGTATTCTGAAAGAAGAGATCTATGACCAATGAAAAGACTTCCATTTTTTTTGCAAACTTTTCGACTATATAAAATTTTGCAAATTTTTCTAACTATATGAAATAAAAAAAAATGTAGGATGCTTGAAGCCACCAGAATTTTGCTATTAAAATTTAATAATTTATGATCACTTCACCATCACGAAGTAAAACTATAAATCACAGCAATTCAAGCTACTCTTGATAAAAGTAACTTTGATTGCAGGAGTGATGCCTCTCATCCACCCATTCAATTCACTCTAATAATGATTCCTTAGCATCAGCAATGAAAATTTTTACATGGTAATAAAACTGGTGTAACGTGTCAAAAAGTAATGATTTAAATTTAAGTAAATAGTCATATCTAACCATCAACCACAAACAACCACAAAAATTACAAAAAATATAACCACAAAAATATACTCACGCAAATTTCTTTTTAAGTTGAAAAAAAGTTATCTTATTCTCAGCTTGTAAAATGTATAGAAGATAAGCCAGTGTAATATGCAATTACTTCCTAAATCAGCCACTACTAACAACACCTAGACAAAATAAAAAAGAGAAGGCTTATCAGAACTTACTAATTCGACACAAAGAAATTCTCCTTGTAAAGTAGCACACAATACAATTGTAGCGATAAGCACTGGTGATGATAGAATACTCCCATCACAAACAACCTTCCACAGCACCTTGTGATTCTAAGAATAAATAAAATACAAATGGTGATATAAGCAATCATAGAAAGGTTTAATTTACTGAAAATTTAAAACATGTTAGATATGACATTATTAACGTGTATTCTATTAGGCCCTAAGATTATCGCATCGAAGTAATTTCACAATTAATACTTTTATCTCATTGAGTGCTTTCTCAAAGTTTATTGTAAATCAATCAAAGTTGTATTCCGGATGTTATCCATCCAACGACGGAACAGAAACTCATGATGAAAAAAAAACGCTCAAAATTACCATAACAAGTTTTTTGTCTATTAGTTCACACCTTGATATCCAACAAATAGAGACATTTATCATGTGATCCAAACAAGCATTTATTTCCTGTATCGATAAGTACAGGAGATGATTTAATGATATTTTCTGTGCCAAATTTCCATATTAATTGTCCATTCTTCTCATTCAAAAAATACAAATAGCCGTCGTAACAGCCTATAAAATATCAAAATGATTTCTCGAAAAAAACTATATGGAAGAAGGGAAAAAAGAGACGAAATTTCGAAAAAAAATTACATTATCTGAACCATTCTAAATAAGTTCAAACACTTCGAAAAATGTAGAATATGAAGAGAGCTATTTCCCAGTAAAGCAAAATAATGAATTTCAATTGAATTTTAATTACATAAGAATAATGAAAGTCTATGATACATAATTGATAACTAGTCTCGCTTGAGCATATAACTTATTTATAGAACAATTCTTTGTTTCTCCTACAAACGAGCTTTCATAAAGAATATGATCTAGGTATAGTACAATACGGTGGAGAACCTCAAGTATTCATAAATGATGATAAAGGTAAAAGAGGAACAACTAAAGAAGAAAAACAAACCCACAGCAATTATACCATCTTGACAACAAGCAGTTGCTTCAATTCGACCATCAAATTGAACTTCCCATTCTTTATTCCCATCCAGAGATAACGAAACGAATCGTCCAGAATGTGATCCCAGAAAAATTGAGCTGGAAAAGTAATCAAAACGTTCAATTTTAATAATCTCAAAAATTCCTAAACTTGATGAAAAGTTAAAATTTCAAGGCGAGATGACTAATACGAAATTAAAGTTAGCAGTTTATTGCTTCATTAAGTATTTTGATTTTTTTAAGTAGTATCAAAAAAGGAGCTGTAATACCACACATGGAAGATGTGATTGGTTGACTGCCTTACAACGTGCTACTTTTAGCATAGGTTAGCGTCATAATCAGAAATTCAGTTAATCTCATCTATGTAGAGATATGCTACTTTTATTTCGAATTGCAGATCAGAATTTCCTCGATTATAGTTGAAAAATGTTTGTTCAATTTTATAATTCATACCCATTTTCGACTGCAGGCGTTGCATCGATGCATTTTCCCAAATCATATTCCCACAATAACTTAGTATTAATGAAGTTTTCTATTGGCCTTATACGAACTTCACGCATACGTACGGTATTTATTTCTCGAACATTTTGATTAAAATCAAGTGCATCCAAAAATCCAGCAATCGTTCCGGTATCCGAAAGAAGATATTGCAGAAGTGGAAAATTTCGTTGTTTCAAAAGATGTTCCGTTTTTAGAGTTAATTCAGCTGCACGTAATGAATCCAAACCCAAATCTTTGAACCTCATTTCTTGATTGGTTTTTAGATTTATCTCTATAAGAGATATTGTAAATTATTAGATAAAATGTGTAGCCATACCAATTTATGCGCTGTATTTCACTTTTCATAAAATTTTATGTCTCGTTACAAAATTTTTGACACAAATAAGAAGAATCTAATATTTTGAAAGATAAGGATTTTTGGGAAATTAAAACAGAACATGGCACATCACAAAAAAGTATGTGTTACAAATAATATTAAAGAAAAGGGAATAAAAAAATTGGGAGGTTTTAGCTGATTTTTCCACTTTTAACTCTTACTTTCCCTTTTTCCAATTTATTTTTATTTACTTTTTTGTTTACTATTTCTTTATTAAATTGAATTGATTTTCCCACAAAAATGGACTTACTAAAATTTTCAAGTAATTTGCTCAAATCTTCCACTGTAAAAACCAAATTTTTTTGCTCGAAAATCTGCATTAATTTTCGGCGATCAATTTTTCCTGAAAATTGTTGTGTGTGTATGACTTGAACGCTGTAATTATGCGCTTCTTGTCAGAGATAAATTATGTTTAAAAGATTTGATCCGATGAAAGTAGTATCTTCTTCCGTCATTTACTGCATTTTCTCTCTAAAACTATAAAGGTCGATAAAATATTTCATTATCCACCAACCATTTCCTGTTACTGGCCAATTATCCACCAAAATGACTATCAGCGGCAATCCTACATCCAACTTTTTGCATAAATCAATTTGCACATTTGCACTATTTTCGATATGTACAAACAGTAAAATGGACTGTCCACGACGTAATGCTAGAGCTGACTGAATATTATCATATTCTTCCGCTTTTCGGGCCAATCCTGATAAGCTTACATTTATGCCATTAATCTTCTGCTGAAAAATAACAAAAACCTTAGAAGAATGGTGCAGATTAAAAAAATTATCCAATGCAGAATTGTTTGTGAAATAGGCAAACATCAGACCATATACAACATGTACAGAAATTGAAGACAAAATGAGAAAGAGAATTTTTAAAGTATCATGAACCTGATCATCTGACCGATCACACCAGTAAATTTTTCCCAGCTCAGTAAGCTCAACAATATCACCAGTACGAAGCCAAGCTCCAGACAGTTTGCCATTTATAAAACATTGTCTCGAACCACCAATAAGCAATTCACCAGTTTCACTAATCTTGAATTTTGTACCCAATAACGGTTCACCAATTTCCACACGAGTTTCTCTAAATGTTTAATTATATTGTCCTAATTATTCTGCGTCTATTTAGGCTAATTCATTAGTCTATAAACTTACTTCCAATCAACTCTATGACATGAAGCCCAACACGATACTTCCGTGACTCCATATACATTGTAGAAATTAATCAATTGATGATCAATATGATAACGCTTAATAAAATTTGTTGGAAATGCTTCACCACCGAGAATTATTGTTCGTATGGTCGAATGACCAGCAAAAATCTCTGTCAAAGCTTGATGAGGTAGAATTTTTAATTGTGAAGGTGTCATCTGAAATAAAAATCAATTTTATGTCCAAACTGTCTAGCGTAAAAATGCATGTCGTAACATTGAAATTTAAAGTAAAAAGCTGAAAATGTAGCTCTGCGTTCAAGCAATGGAAATATATTCTAAGGATATTCTTAAAGCGAGTACTGCTGTTTTTGTCAAATTAAACTCAGACTTAATGTTAAATCCAAATAATTTAAGGATTAAATGTAACATAAATAATAAAGGAATGCAAATGCTAGCCTGAATAAAGGTTACACCGTATTTCATGATTGCATCAGCCAATTTCGACGGTATGGAACGAAACGAATCCGGAATAACCAATAATTTTGCACCATTTACTACAGCTAAAAGAATTTCCACAACAAATGGATCAAATGTTGCTGCCGTCCCGAAGAGAATAACATCGGAAATTGTGATTTGGAATCGATGACTAAAAAAGAATAGTCTTGAGATATAGCAAACATTAATCCAAAACCTTACAAACTTCATTGATTAACTTGATCATATTAATAGATAACAAGTTTGTAAAATTATTCTGCTGAATTCTTCCATTGTTTACTATTAAAAAAAATTTGTTGCAATCACAAGACATTCGGTTATTTTTGCTCAGAATTTCATTTAAAAATTATACCAACATCAGCAAGACTGCATTTCAAATATTTCTTTAAATCTGATGATGATTTTAAGGAAGCAGTAAGACCTATGACATTATCAAACGGTAATCGAGGAAGAATAAGAACAGAAATCTAAAAAATTCTCACCTGAAATCCCAAATATTAGGCATTATGCAGCTGTATGGAACAAGAACTTCTTTTTTTTCTCCTAATGTCCCTGATGTGGTGATCAAATAGCAAAGTCTATCCTTTCCAAATTCATCCATATAATAATACCCACTGTGGTGGAAATAAATTTGCAAACCGTGTATATTAATTGAATTCCTGTCTTCTGTAGCGATAGTAGAAACAACACAAGATACTGTAGCACTACGGTAACTGTTTGCCATTTCAATGCTTGAACAACAGACAAAACAATTCTTCGTTTCCAGAACTCTGAAAACCTAGAACACTAGCATGCTAAAAACTCGATAAATCAATTTTGGAGCAAATCACTATGTATTAAAAATAATAAGTTAGAAAAGAAGTTCTCTATTTATTCAGCATTTCAATGAAATTTGCTATTTCCAGGTTTATATCATCAAAAATAATCTATCCCGGAGTTTACTCAAATGAGAGAAAATTTTTACAAAAAAATTGCACGAAAAGAAAATGTGAGATGAATGAAGTTTAACTTCAAATTAGTAAGATATAAAGTGAGTAAGCTAGAATATAGGAAAAATACAAACCCAAGAATAACAGAAACAAATGCTGGATGCTTAGGAAGAACTACAGCAATAAGACAATTCTTGTAAGAAGCTAATTGTTCTGCAATCAATGATACTCCGTTCATAATATCGGCATACCCCACCGCCACGCCACATGAATTATCCATTTTTTCCACATATATCATTGAAAATGGTTTCGCAATTAATGCCGCTGACATTTTTATTCTGCAACACATTGCAAAAAAGTGTGTGAAGGAAAATTACGAACAATGTCACAACTGCAAAATGACAGTCACTACCAAGATTTTACAGAACACTATACCTATACTAAAATTCGGATTGCATTATAACATTGATTTGTCAGTCAGAGATATATGTTTGTTCATGTTATTAACTGCATATTTACGTAAATAAAAGCAGAAGCACATTACTACTGGACAGGTTAGAAAGTTTAATGCCGCAAGCACTTTATTCAAAAGCATTAAAAAGAAAGTGGAATATATGATACATTGACACTGCATGATCAAAGAGATTCCTTGTACTATTTTATTCCCAATTTCGCATATAAGAAGAAATTTATATTAACAGTGATTACACTGAAGATCAAATATTTTACAAATTACAATAACCTTATCACCAAAAACACAACAACTTGAAAGCATGTAATGTAATTCCATGAAGATAAAGTGTCAAAAGCACATGTCATATAAATTCATCTATCCGAAATACCGCATAGTGATGATTCAATGATTTTTCTTCCTGAATTCTCCAGCATGATTCATATACTCCATTTAAAGGGGTACGTTTTCCATAAAATACTCGCCCAACACGAAAATGTACCAAAGCCATAGCACACATTGCACACGGTTCATCCGTCAAATAAACGTCATATCCTGTACCAAGATACTGCAGTATGTCACCTGAAATGATTCGTTATTCATTCTGATAAGACAAATGAAAGTTCTGGAAACTTAGAGTTTTTTTTCAACTATTTTGTAACTACAAGTTTCTCGTGAGTGATACTAAACGCATATGAACCTCAAAAATCACATTAAACAGTATGATTTAACAGATGAAACGAAAGATGACTTTATTTTATTTCTAACGAAAGATTACATTTATTTTACTTATGTCAACGTTTATTTAATTTTGATGCAAGAAATTTACTTTGCTTGGTACGATGTCTTTCGCATAGATCTGAAACTGCAGCTATAACAGCATGTCCAAGGGGTATATTTCGGTTGCCACTTTTTGCGACAACTTCATCTTTTAAATCCACAATGACACACCCTGAACCACCGTTACTAATCTGGAAAAAGTCTTCTCAATTTTTTAATAGTTCAAATTTTTAAAAACTGATTACAGGCAAAAAAGTATTATAAATAATTGAAAATTTGCAACATATTGTATTCCTTTTCGAAAAAATTTGATCTAAACTTGATTAATTCTTAAAAATCTCACAACAATTATACAGATATTCGATGATTGCACTGAACGCATATTCTGAAGGTACTTAACTATCATTTAATTATGAATTAGAAACATCAAGTATCGGATGCATATAATTCATCATCAATTTTACTGAACTGTTACGTGTTTGAATACTAAACAGGTATACTTCAACCTTTTTTGATTCCAAATAGAAGCCAATAATCTTTTGATACTCATCAGCTTTGAAAAAATTGCCATTTAACAGTGCTTCATACTGTTTGTTTAGGTGAAAAGCTGTAGGCCAGTATTGTTTAGCCCATAGAAATTGTTGTCTTGTCACTGGCTTACATGAAGGAACTTTAACTTTCAAGACAGAAATATCTAAAAGGGTAGTTTCGAGTTTTTTGACAAATTCCTGAAAAATGTATGAGGTAATTGTCAAATAATATATGGAAATAAACTAGTTAAAATCTAAAATCCTTTGTTTAGAATTGATAAAACAAATGGAGAAGTTACAAAAGGCTTACTGAAAATAAAACAAATAATAATCATATTAATCTATTAATGTAATCAGACTAAACAGCTTGTGTGTGAAACAGATTAACATATCGATCTATTTCTTTTGTTCTTTTCTCTTCTACGCAAATAAGTAAAACTTTAAATGATCAACATTTTATATGGCTAATACGACTTCAAGTTCTTTTTAAAAAACACGGAATAATCGCTCCGAGCGTCATCACCTTTAAATTTGCCTAAAGTTTAATCATTACTTGATAAATTTTGATGATATAAGCAAATATTTTTTATGTGAATGAAAACCTTTGAATCCAACAAGAGAGAATTACCTGCGGCAGTGGATTATTTGTTGGCTGGATAAGAATTAATCCATTTTTGATACGCCTTAAATGATTCGCTTCAGACGGCATATTCGGCAAAATTTGTAGCAGCAATCCGATTTTGCATTTATCTTCTACCTTTACTGCGTAATACTCAATCAGCGGCAATTCATCACGCACTATTTCCTCGCAAAGTATTGGTGTAATGGTGAACCTTAAATGATCAAGACAAATAACATAAGATAGTTATTTTCTCTGAAAAAAGCGAATTTATCAATTTGCAAAATAAATGTAAAAAATTTTGGAATGAAAAAGTGTTACTGCGGAACTTAACGTTATATAAACTTTGAATTGTTTCCAAAATAAATGTGAGGAAATTTCGGAATTGTACGAATTTACTTTGCTTACTTTAATTTAGCATGGGCAAGTCTAAAAAACTTTCACAAAGATATCTTTTACGTGGAGATTTACCCATCGTTAGCACCAAGATAAGAAGACTCCAAAATTAATTGCAGAAAGAAATCAAAACTTTCCCCTAAATATCTCGAAAAAAGAATAACAAAATAATTCAAAACGAATATGAATAAATTCAGGAAAAAGCAAGGGTTTGGAATTCTTGTTGTTCATTTGTTGCTAAACTTAGGAAAAGCCACTAACCTTCTTCCTTTCACTTTCTCCCTGATATCTTCTTGCTGATCAGTCATACTCCGGCAACTAAAACAGCTTGGTTCTCCTTCTGTATATGTCATTTCAGCAAAAATTCTGAAAAGATAAATTAGAAACTCAGTTTTTACCTGAAAACACAAATCTACAATTGAATTTGTATATTTAAAGTCAAAGTTAGATATGATCCACATGTCTTCAAACACAAAAAAAATTTGGAACAAATCCCCACCACAACCTGAGTTGCCTAAGCAATTAAACACAGAAATATTATGCGAAATATAAATCAAACTAATCACGATTTTCAAATCTCAATCTTAAATTAAACGCAGCACGCATCTGCAAACTACTACATCCCACCAGATTCCGATTACAACAACTCAAAAAACAAAAACATTTTTAGTTTTTCGAGGTTTGTTTATTTTTGTTTGTTTTTTTTTTGTCGATGTTGATGGAGATATGAAATATATGGAAATCTCAGAAATGAACAGATATCTGCAGCTTCAGAAGTCTTAAAAATTCCGAAAATCTTTCACTTTTTAAATTTTTAATCGAAAAATAATTTTCAAGTTGTCCGATCAAACTGATCAAATGAACATACTGTTTGGAAATTTGTTTCTTTTCCCCTCAGTAATTCTTTGTAAATGTTCAACTTAAGATTCATCACCTGGAATCGAAAAACTTAAGTTTATGTTTCTCAATTCGATTTCAGATTTCTAGAAAAGTTGTCTACTTTTCCAAATCTAAACATTTTTTTAGTAATTGCTCTGAAATTTGCCGACTAGAAGTTTGAAGGTGAAATTTAAACTTAAATTCCCAAAAAATTTTGGAAATGTTCTTCATCACTTCACTTGCACGATGTTATTGATAGGTAATGATATACTGGTTAGTCAGTTTGATTTCATGCTGATACGATACATATCTTAGAACAATAAAATAACATCATAAAGTAAAAAACTGGAGAAATGTTAAAGAAAGTACTTCCATACTTTTTGTGACAGGCAATGTTTAAAGTATCCTGCCGAAGAATTAATAGACAGTTGGGTTGGACTCCGGAATGCGGAAAACTCCTAGCCTTGTTTTAATACAAACATGTATCCCTAAAATGAAATTTAAATTTCTTATAGAAAAAAATGAGCGCATTCATGAAATACAACAAATGTTTACAAAATCCTAAATATAAATTTGCTTGTAGTCCTAAATTTGAATTTCTGTTTTACATTATGTATTATGCACATTGTGCACGTTATATAAAAATGATTTTAAAGGCATTTGAAATACAAACGCTTAAGATACAAACGTTTGTTGCTGATAAGTCTCAAAAGCGCCATCAGTTTAACACTCTGGTGGTTATATTTGCTTCATCATAATCTTGTCAAGAGTAGCAAATAACAGTCAATCACGCGGCACTGAGCTTACTACATCCACTCAGTGGAACTCATACAACCCACTTCACTAACAAATCAAGATGGCCTCACCTCTGATTTGCTTGAATTTTAAAATTACGAGTCTATCGACATTTTAATACCTGAATATAGGTAGAATAAATATTTCAAGTCGAGCAAGGGAGTAACTTTCCAAAAGTTTTAATTTCGATATTAGCTACGAAGAGTCAAAAACTCCGTGAACCTCATCACTTCATAAATAACTGACAGTGTCTGAATCCATTTCCTTAGCCACATATTAAAATGGTGTTAGCATACGAACCGATCGACAATTTACTAACAGTTAACCGGAAACTATTTTAAAATATCAATCTCTCTCAATCCCAAATCGTCAGGCGCCTCTTCTTCCCATAGAATAACGGCTTTGTTACGGATAAGTTGAACTTTGGATTCTTCTCCAAAACGTCAGTGAAGAGCGAGGAAAGGAAGGATAATTTATTTCATCGATATACATACTTCAGACCCGCATACAGACAATCTCAAGATCTTTTCTTGGAAAACAAGCTACAAATAAGAAAGGATGAATCCTTATTCCTTCCTACATGTATATATACATATAATCATATATAGCCGTCTTTCCCATACAGATTCTTTCGATATAATTAGCGAAGATAGAATAATAAAAGGAACGGAGAGGATATATAACAAACAGCGCATACTTTCCGGATATTCACAGACAAAAGTGAGTAATAAGAGAATTCAAAAATAACAATATCGGTATAGCAATGACCCATGATTCAAGATTGCATCGAAATAAAATTAAAATATTGGAATATTTAAGACAAAAAATTACAAGATAGCCCGAATTTAATGAAGCGTAATACCAACTTTTCAACGAAGGAGTAAAAATAAAATACATATTTCTTACTTTGAATAATTAATATTGTTTCGTATATATTATTTCTATTATTTAAAATAAATATTTTATTTGCCATTCCTTCGCTGATAGTTATCACTTGTGATAAACAAGTATTACAATTAAACAAATAAGAACTAATCCATTTCCTCAATCTTAAACCTGGTAAAACTGATATCTCACTAACAGTAGACACTAAAGAATGAGAAGTAAGCAATTGTGCAACAAAGCGATTAAGTATCTAAAGCACCGAAATGATGATTGAATGCAGACAGAACTATTAGTAAATGATATGTGCCGTAAACTGATAAAAAGGAGAGACTCCAATTTTCTCTTCTATCCACATGCAGCAGAGTATAAGTTGAAACACAAAAAAATCAATTCCTACTATCAGAATATATTACGCAAGATGTCTTCTTTATTGAAAGTAAAAGATAGAAATATAAATGAATAAAGGGATGAAGAGCCCCTAGCATATTCTTGCATTATGTATAAGGTAAAACCATGTAATAAGAGACCCGCCTAAATTCATCCAACAATTCTTTCATCTTTCAAGATCATTTATCCAATGTATTAAAGCAGTTGGAAGAGGTGTAAATTCTTTCACACAATTCAACACCAAGTCGATATCTACCTGGAAAGAATGTCTTTTACAGGAAAAAATTTGATGAAGCGGAGAAAAATTAATTAATCAACAAATCTGTTACTCAAATTTAATAAATCATGATAATTGGCTGGAGATGATATTTGAAATTTACCAAATAATAATTGCTTAGGATGCCTAAAAACTTCGGTGACTGGTCTTAGCATGGCACCAAAATATTTTATCTTAGTATGGTACCATACCGTAAACAATGTTCGCAACAATCCATATCTTGCCAGCTGCTCATAAAAGAAATAATACCTGCAGAGATGTTCGCTTAAACAATAACTGCCCGCACTGTTCTCTTTCTTCCAGCACTGTCAGAGTGCATAATGTATCCAGTTCTTTTAATAAGATCAGATCGTCTTTCACATTTAGTGTTGGCAGATATTTGTTGACCAATTTACGGTAATCTAAAATCAAACTCAAATTAAATTTAAAATTTTTGAAAAGCGAGTAAAAGGATAAAGACCTTTTTTTGCCTGACTATTTCCCACTTACCAAAGTAATATTTAATAAAAAATTCTGATATTCTTTTTTCGGGATGAGCTTCTCTATTCATGATTTAGTGAATCTACTAGACATGCAATTTTGTCGGAAACTATCCAGTAAACCTTTTTTTCCTGCATACTATACTCAAAAAAATGCTGTATCTATCTGATTCGAAACAACAACTGGAACGAAAATATAAAACTGAAGACTAAAATATAAAGTTCAAAAAAATAGTTAAAACTTTGGAAATCAATCAAAAAAGAAAAATAGAAAACTAAGGTTAATAACCTAAGTTAAACCGATTGAAAAGCAAAACAACTTTTATTTTCGCCAAAAAATTTTGTTCTAAGTATTATGAACCTAGGATAATTTCACGAAATATGAAATCCTGCCGTCGCTGATAACGTGCCAGACGAACACAACATAATAAAAGACACAACTGTCGCAATGTTAAACCTGAAGTGGTGTAGAAAGTAAGTTGGTAGAGTATATAAAATATTTATTCGACTAGGATAACCGTAACTGTAGTTGGTGTTAAATCATACCGATAAAATCTATGGATATTACCACCTCTCAGAATCTGGAAAGTTTCCGATTTCTATCAAAGTAATATGACGGTAAATTTTCAGAACAATAAAGAGCAAACCTAATACGGTGATAAATTTCGTGAAAATTTATTGATTTTATCAGTTCACAAGTAATCCAAACATTAAATGCATAAACATGTTAACATATTGTAAAACCATATTAGGCCAGCAAAGTCAACTTCGCTTCATATTTATAAAGCAAAGAAATTTTGAACTTGGCAATAACTTAACAATCTTACTTAAAATGATCGATTTCATCGTATCTTCGTTAGCAACAACAGCGTTTTTTGCTTCAATAAATATTCGCGAAGCGTGAGGACTTGCTAAACTTTCAATGTGCTCTGCATCCATAAAACACAGAAATATAGCTGTGATTTGTTTTAGAATGCAATAACTTCGTGTTTCATCGTATACTTCACGTAATTTACGCTCTACACACTCATTAGCAATGAATTCCTGTAATCATTATTTCATACAAAACTATCAATTTTCAAAATCGATGAAGCAATTCTGCAATAAGTTTTCTTAATTCTTTTTTATGATTTCAATATTTAACAATAAGGATAGTATCATAGTCTTCCCTATTTTTAACTCCTATTTTCTATTCTTAAATTGTCGAATGATATAAATTATCCATACATTTCAAAATTGCTAATTTCACAGTTAGTTCCATAGACTTCCTCTTAAGATCAAAGTGCTTTTCCTGAGTTTTTTCCAATGCGTAAGACAAACACATCAAAAAATAGTATTCTTATATTTCAATTTGGATAAATTAATACTCACCTGGATAAGACCATTATTTTGCTTGTATTTTTTTGTACTGGTATTCAAAAATGTTGCAAATGCCTTTGAAAAATCATCGAATGATATAGATGACTGAGCAAATGATATAAAAGTATTAGAAAGACGTGAACGAACACGTTTTTCAAGCAATTCGATACAATCCTAAAATTTAATTCATCCAAACTTTCGATTCCTCACACTATTTTCAAATTCTGTATTCAAAAAAATTGATAAAAATAATTACCTGCCCAAGTCAATGCATAAAACTGTTTTAGAATGTTTTATGATGACTTCATATTGTTTTGTGATTCAAATTTCTAATACAAAAAAGTGACAATCCATTTGATATTCTTAAATTAACTATATCTATAAAACTTGCCTGACGAGAGCTAACACAAAGCACAAAAAGAAATCCAGAACGTGATGCATTCAGAAGCGTGTAAAGAAGAGTTTGTCGGCCTCGTGTAACAAACTGATCGAAGTTGAACACGATAACAAACTGCAGTTGTTCCTATAACATGAAAAGAGTAAAATATTTCGAACGGCCAATGTATGCTCTTTGGCAGCTATAATCAGGATAAATTCTTCTGTTAAAATACATAAAACAGTGGCGTAACAAAAACAATAATGATGTATGTAATCATCAAAATATATGAAAATGTGTATTATTCACAATGGTTTCTTTAAAAAAGTCAAGAACGAAAAAAATTTGAATAGAAAAAAAATTAAAAATAAATACTGAATTGGATTCAGATGCATCCAATATTTTTAGTGCATCTACATCACTTGTTAGAATTAATCCATCGATGAAAACTACTTCCATATCATTCGCATAATCCATCACAACCTGATAAAAAGGTAAGCGAGCTGGAAGAAAAAAATGATTCTTTAGAGAACTAATCTTTCTTTGCTCCCAAGAATTTGTGATGGAGAAAATATCATCTTATCTCTATTTTCTCCTTTAAAACTCACTACATCTAATGAGACTTTTTTTTTAAAGCAACAAGAAACACATGTCAGAAATAAAGGAATAGTAGAGAAAGAACAAAAATTTTCGACAAATCTCTAAGTTACTGCCCACAACGTTATTCAACCTATTGAGAAAGCAAAAAACTAAGTCGAACAATAACGAACCTTCGATATAATTGAACGTTTGCCAGATGACTTGGGACCAAAAACAACTGCCGAACCACCTTCTCTATCCTTCACGAATCGTTTTATAACTTCATGCAATTTACTACAAACGGAAAAACCAGCAGCATTTGAAAATCTCATTTATACAGAAAGATATTCAATTCCATCCATTAATTTACAAAATTTCCACAAATTTTGAAGTCTTTATCTGGAGCGAATATTTCTTTTGGAAAGTAGGATAAGCACTTCCAACCAGACTATAACAAAAGGAAAGAATAAATGAATGTCCTATCTGCATAAATTGTATCTCGCACGGCTTGAAAAACTGAAAATGAAAAGAAATATTTGCTACAGCTGGAAAAGACTTTCAGAGTAATTTTCTGAAAAGGAATTGAAGTTTACTAATCCAGAGATCAATTTTAACAATTACGAACTGTGGTACCTGATGCACTGATCCAAACCGACAAATTTGTCATCAAGCTCGGCAAGCAAACGATTAAACACTGATTCAACGGCCATTATGATCGGATAAATTTATCCTGGTAATTAGGTAATCATAGGAGTGACATGCATGCCACATATTACTGATTAATACAAACCCTATGAATATTTCAGTGAATTTTTAATATTTAATTTGCAATTATTTTGTCTGTGAATTTAGTGATATGAAAGTTTGTAGTGGAACGTAGCAAGACCAAACTTCAGCCCGTTTAACAGTTCTGCAAGATATCACTATCTTAACAATTCAATTCACTATCAGCCAAGCATATTAGAAAATATCGATATATTTGCTTATTTTTGACAGCTAATACATTAAGTTCTTCTCAACTTTAAAAAGAAGATCGACACCGACTGTTTTTAAGTAATCTTTAGCTATGAAACAAATGCAAGTAATGAAAGGTGGGAATGTAAGTGGACGCAAATTACCTGCGCCTTATATGCAAAGAGCAAATTCAAGTATACACATTTGGAAATAACAAAAAACATTTATTAGCAGAAAAAGTGATTCGAGAAGCAAATACTACCGTAAATGTATGGATATCATTATTTGAAGATAGTAATGGAAAGATTTTAGGTGGAAAATAGAAAAAGAACAAACAAAAGAAAAATCAAAAACAAAAACAATAGCTTCAAGCTCGACTATAAATTAAACAAATATAACATCTGAAAAAATTTTAGACTTAAGAGACGAAAAATCATTTTATCAATGGTACTATTTATTAAACCACTTACAAATAATTGTACTGAATTTCGGTGCTTGAGGATTAAAAGAAAAAAGAGAAAAAAACAAGAAAATAGTTGGAATAATGGCATTAAGAAACAGATGTGCCATTCTTTAGAGAGCGTGAAACATTGGGAAAATATAAAAATTATATCTGACTCAGTTTTGTTCCTTCTTCTTTTCAGATAACTTTCTCAACTATTTTCATAATTGGTAACTTTGTGCAAGCAAAAACAATATTTAATAAGTCATCAGTTATTGAAAAACAAAATTTTAAACTAAACTTACAAATAAAAAAGAGACAGAAAGAGAACAGTAATTAATCAAGGATTCGTTTCATTTTTTTGGCAAATAAAAAAGTGTCAATAAAAAATACTACATTCCTCTACGAATCTGTCGCATTATAAAGGAATGATTTTGAAAAAATAATAATAATAATGACTGATAGTAATATTAACAGTAGTTGAAAAAAAGAAAACTACAGCTGTAATAAGAAAATATATCAAAACAAAGGTTACATTAATCGTATAGAAGCCATACATATACAAACCGATAGCTAATAACCGAGTTAGATAAAGCAGCTGTACATATAGCACAACAAATAATAATTAACATACATAATAAAAACCAAGAATTATCAAATCAAAAAAGATGGCAAAAAACCAGTGATAACAGTAATAAATGGTAAGATAAATGATCATAAGCTACAAGAATGCAAGCAAGGGAAAAGGAACACAACATGGCAAGAGAACTGTTGGATAAATTCCAAAATAAATAGAAAAGAATAGTCACCGTTTTTTTTTTTCAATTTTATGAAGTATATCTATCTTATCAAGGGATAGAGTTAAAAAAATTGAAGAAAAGCAAGGAAACAATGGTAAGACAATCAACCGAGTTAAAGATAAAAAATCGAAAAAAATTTTATGGAAATTTTTTCAAGATCGAAACCGGATAGCAAAATATTACACGCGGAAGAAAAGAAAAAAATTAAAAATGCCAACAGTGCATACAACAGGAGAAAATTTGCAGTAAAGTTTGCAAAATAAATAAAATTATATTCACAAAAACGGAGAACTGCTTTTCGCTGACAAACAAGCAGGAAGGTCCATAAAGTCTTCACCTGGCAAAGCTTTTCAAAAAGTGTTGATTCAACTAAATGAAATGCCTAATCGCCAACATTACAAGTCCCATTTTCTCAGAAACGACGGGTACAGGTGATTCGGGTGGAAATCGCTAAGCATAAGGAATGTGTCCCAAAAAATGTACATCAGACACAAAGATGTTCCGACGGATGACAATGTAGGCGACTTCTTTCTCACTAAAGATGTGAGACAATATTAACAGGATTGCATGACCTGGGTATTAATTACTAGTTTATAAAATTTGAAAAAATATTATGTGCTTTACTCTGAAGATGAAAAAAGAGAAAGAGGGTACGCAAATTCCAGACAAAAGAAAACAAGCAACCACTGCAAAAAAGCAAGATACTGAATAAGTCAATGAACCATCAAGAAATATTAAAGATATAATTTTTGGTCTTGAAAGAATTTATGAGAAAAAATGAATAAATTGAAAGTAAGCAAAATTCAAGACAATCTAATTAGCTGTGGCCATTACAAAGTAGTAGAAATACCATTATAATACGTTCATGATTTATAGTTTGTTTCAACGCGCAATTTAAAAAAAATCTGGAACCAAAAACATATAATAAAATATCTAAGAATTAAAAAATGAACTGAAAAACGTATAAAAATTAAAACAATAAAAAATTTTGAGAAATAAAAAAAGTGAACAAGTGTGCTAAGAATGAGGATAGACAATACGGTAAGTGCATTCAAGTTCAAAATCAAATTCCAATTCAAATTTTAAACCATACAACATCAATTTGCTCATATAAATTGAAAGCATGCATTACTTTTTTTGGGGAGATAACGAGAAGAATAATCAATACTATTCATTAAACGGTGCGGAAAAATCAAATTTCGGATTTAAAATACCAGATGCAAAAATTGTCATTGCGGATCTCTAGACAAATGAAGATGCATTTCCAGTCAACAGACGCACACTTTCTCACTCGAACCAAATGCCATTAAACAAATTCCATCTATTTTATTATTGCACCGAGCGTTCTGTTTAAAAAAATTATGAAAATGATCATGTCCCCTCCCAAAAGTGTAATGACAGAAGTGCATCTTAACTAAATGATAAACAGGAACGGAGAGAGGGAACGTCAATTATAAATGGATGCGTATAAATTAAGTATAAGGTAATAACAAATACGAAAATCAGATGATGAGCAAGCTAGGAAAAAAAATGAGGACCACAACTACTATCGATAAGAACTGCTACATTCAAGAAATTATGGAATATACTGCGGTATTTGGCTCAATAAAGCTGACAAAATTGACAAACACAATCATATCAAAAGAGTATAAAAAAGGATAATATATAGTAATTGTAAATAAAATGGGAAAAATTTCTTGGCTGTAAGAATACTGAAGGATCTTCCTTCGATGACATTAACCGAAATTAGATATTACAAGCCAAGAGTTTTAATATTGGCGCATCCCTCAAACAGTTCATAAAAAAGTATTATTTGAATAATTTGAACACAGCCATTTATTGATCTTACAGGAACTTAGAGATCCTATCAATTCCAATGAAAAACTACAGCTTTACTAAGCCTAATTATTACTACATAAAATGAAAATAATATCAATCTATTTTAGGCTAACCATACTGTCTCCAAAATTAAGAAACAGATTAAGGGTATAAGACAGTCCTGATGTCAAATAAAGTACGTGCAAGCAAAAGCACTTTGAGCCTTCCAGGAAGCTTAAAACCAAACAAAAAAAAAGTAACAATGGACATATGGCAGTGTGTAGTGAAAGTCGCAGTAGTTCTTGCTCAAAAACAAAAAAAAATTTCACTATCGTGTCAAAGTTCGGATTTGCGACTTTTTAACCATTACTTTTTAACATAGGGAAAAACTAACACTTCGTACTTTGATAATGAAAATTCGAATATGATTAAATTAATCATTGTTTGTTACGATACATTTTTCATTTTAGCTTCCTATCCTCAGTGCAATAAATTAGACCCAAATACTCTTCACATCAAGCTGGATGAAGTTTTTTGCTAGTGTGTTAATATAATAAAAAAAGTAAAATAAAGGTGATACAAAGATCGCATGAATGACATAGAAACAACAAAACAAACAATTAGGGAAAAAGAAATATTTACAGTGCGAAAAAATGATGATGCATAATGTAGCTATTAATAATTCATATCATTTTTATGCCAGCTTATAGGTGTTTATGATGCGCGCTACGAGTTGTTACGCATCAATACGAAAAACATGAACACCCGAACAAATTTCACAGAAATGAGAGAGAATAAATATACAATAATGAAGAAAGAAGTAAATGGACAAGTAAACAAAATTTGAAGACAACACGCTGAAATATGAGATCAGTACAGTCTGAAACAAGTTATCAAAAACAAATGGTTTCAAAACATCCCTATTTTTTTAATTTTTTTCTTTTTTAATCTAAACAGTTGAACGACAAAAGATGTAAAAAGAAAACAAATGAAAGAAATGGTACATGTTTTCTCTTCCTGTGCAAGTGTGCAAGCAGAATATTTGTAGAAAACTTAAGAGAAAATGTAACAGTGATCAATTCTAAATTAACAGAAAATTTCCATCTTTGCTTAAAAATTTCCATTTGAATATTTTCCTCATTCATCTAATGTCCGTAATTTTTAAAATTTCGCTAAAACTTTTTTAAGAGCTTTTTTAAGATGCCTTCAAGAAAGGGCTTCTCTAATATACATGTTAGTTATTAGACGAACTATAAAAGTTCTTAAACTTAATTTAAAATTAAAAGAGAAACAACAGAACTATTTTTAAGAAAATACAAACAAATAAACTGATTTGGATATAATAACGATAAAATAGTGGTTTAATAATATGCAAAACAAAGTGAGCACTCAATAAGGCAAAACGACAATAATGATTTCAAAACTGGAAAAATTTCTTTCTTGAAAAACAGAATTTGAAAAGAAACTAAACAAAAGGCAAGAAAGAAGAAATTGAAGACAGAAAAATATTTCTCTGAAAACGCTTCATGAAGAAATAAAAAAAGCAAAAAAAGGCGCAAAGTTTCTCCAATAAACTGAAGGATAAACTTGCTCCCAATCTACATAAAATTAGAGCAATTAACTGATCAGTTAATTGATTAATAGAAAAAATTTAGAAAAAAATAACAGTGCGGGAGATAACAGAAAGACGAAAGGATTTCAAAAATAGCAATCAGTAGAAAAATAAATAACTGAAATTTGATATATAGTGGTTTCATGCACCATACCGTACATTTCTGACGTATATCACAATAGAGAATCGTTTCAAAAAAAGCTAGAAAAGCAAACACCACGTAGGTACGTACGTGCATGCGCTCACCAAATTTATACTTGGAGCAATGTAGCGAAAATCTTACACTACGGATCTAAAAAAAAGACACGGTGAATTATTTAAAACTATTTAGCTTTTAACAACGTGAGCATTTCCAAAGGTTTCCTAAATCAGTCAAAATTCACGTAATGAGAATCCAATTTCATCTTTTATTCTTCTGATGCATGTATATTATTAGCCTGTTGTATTTTTTGAGTTATTATGTGGGGCAAAATTTTCGCTAGTTTTGTAATATAAATACAATATTCAATTATAAGCATTAAGAATGAAAAGAACAAGTCAGTAATAAGGCAAATTTTGAACGAGCACCGTTATATGTACCACAGGTTTAAATTGATGATTGACATCCAGAAGCCAATGCAACAAATTGGCATAGCTTTCGATCCGGAAAAGAAAAAAGTGTTTGAGAGATTATTGCTGCTGCGGTTGCCAGGAGAAAAGTTGGAGACAATTTCCTAAAGGGGGGCTGGGGGACTGACAAAAACTGTACTGAATATAAGCAGTGTATGGTTATGCTTCGATACTGAAATCAGAAAACCTTCTGACGTTAAACGAAGTCCCACACATCGCGAAACCTGAAAAACAAATATATTACATTTATCTAAAATTAGGTAATAATTAAATGAAATTATTTGGTAACTGCTACGATAGAGATGATATACTTGACACCAACTGATTACAGAACTAAAAGTTGAGTACAGGAAGCTGTCGGAATGGAAATACTCGATGGACTATTTTCGATTCAAGTCAGAGAATTTTGTAAGATTGGACATCAAGAATTTGTTTTATAAAGTCGTGTTCTGGTAGTGGAGTGATAGATCGGATGGCAATGTCGTTTTTTTTCGATTTTCGACCAGAATGTAAATAAGTTATTAGAATATTGATCATCTCTATTAAAAAGAAACGAGATGAATCTGAACTATATGAATTTCTAAAGCTAATTCAAGCCGAGTTCTGCTTATTATTTAACCACATTCTGTAAATACCGCTACAAGATGCACTAAGGATAATGTAGAATAGAAGGAAGAAACAATATGGTGATGAATTTGAAATTCGTTTAGTGAATTGAGAAATTCGAATTTTTATTAAAATTTAATTGCTTTCCAGTTTGCATTGTTTTAACCGTTCAAAATGAAGTATTTTGGAAATAACTAAAAAACAACTCATCTGTTTTCAGTGGAACTTAATTAATTGTGCACATGAATTATTTCTTCTCATTTGAATCAATGTGAATTCTTGAATTCTTCTGGATTAAAATTTGAACCCCTTCTCAGATAGCATCAACTTATGGTTATATATTAAAAAGGTAGTTGAGATGCCTAATAAATCAACATTCATTTTGCAAAAAAACATAAATATTAACTTTGCTTATGTGCATAACAAGCCAATTCATTTAAAAAAAAACTTGACACTAATTTATTAAAGTCCCATTATAATAAAGCTGAAATAACTTGCTTTCAGTTGCGAACATTCGAATTCCTGCAACCGCTGCCCATCAGTTGCACAACAGTAAATATGAAAATGATTGCCATGGGAATCTGCCACCAATACATCACCATTTGTTGATACATCAACACCGATTGGATATGGGGTACTCTCAAAGGATCCGAAACGACAGAGCACCTCACCTAAAATACAAGTTTTAATCGATAATTTGTGCCAATGCTTTCAATGATGATTACTTTTCTACTGCTGTCCTACACATATTATGATAATGCAGAGGCTTCTACTGCTTCAAAAAATACAGCAAGAGCATAGAAATGTAAAATCAAATTCTGTAATTTAAACCCTATAGTATATCAAACCACACAGAAAAGCAGTTGTTACAAATATTTCCGTTGACTTACTTATTTAAGTCTTCACTAAACATGGCTAGCAATAAAAACTGCAAAAAATTTACCATCACTATTGAGTGCAACTACGCAATGATTCTTGTAATCAGTAACATAATATCTATCTCGAAAAACAGCTACATCAGATGGTTCACCAATCGCTTTAGTACAGTCATTCCATTTAAGCACCAGGGGTTCCAAAAGATCAATATCCAGGATGAACATCATTACCGAGCTGCTGAATACTACTAGATGTGATGCTTCATTTACCGTTAATGCCGAAACATACTCGAGATAAGGAGTTTCTAAAATAATAGATTAGGTTTTGAGTAGTTTTTGTATAGCTAAATTAGTTCATAGGAATAATTAATACTACACAAAACAGTAAGCCATATACAATCTATAAATTAATTACATTTTATTTTCTCAACTAATTTCTATATAGGGAAGAAAGTGACAATTCAATTTCGAAAGAAATGAAAATTAGAGATTTAGAAATTCTATAAACATCAAATATGTCAAAGACTTTGCTTTTGTTTATATCCAGTTCAAATTTTCCTTCAAGCATTTAGCTGCAGATTGATCTGGATGTAAATACCGATATTAAACTATAAAAGAATATCTGGATTTAAAAAACATATTAATACGCACGAAGACGTCGAATAAAGTCGCCCCGCTTCGAGAACAATTGTAACCTGGCCTTATTTTCACCTTTGTCAACAATAATGTAGCCTCCTTCACCCATTCGAGATCTGAATGCCACCACTTTTTTTGGATAAAATAAATGACCATCTTCTGAGCCACCGATTCCAAAATGCATGATGAATTCACCTTTCTTCGTAAAGATCTGTGAAGAAAACAGTTGCATATAGCATATCAGTAAATATTTAAATGCAAGCTTAAAAACCGTAGCTTCACCAAAGTAGGTAGCAAAATATATTGAATAATTTCTCAATATTTCTGTAGACTATTTCTATTATATTATATATATATATATATATATCAGCCAAGTAAAATATCACTTATTTTATTTCAGTGGTAAACTAAATGTTAAAAACATACTTGTATACGATGATTATTTGTATCCGTAACGAGGATTTCTTCGTTATGACCAAGACAAAAACCATGTGGTGAACCAAATTGTCCAGGATTCGATCCTACTCCTCCAATCGAGCATCGAAGTGACAAATCAGATGCATTAGCGTTATTCTTCGCAGATGATCGTATTGCTGGCGGTATTCCCTAAGAAATCAAATATTATTTAAAATTTTCGAAAAAGGGAAACAAAAAGTCCTTGAAATCACAAAAACAAACAAGAAGTCCAAATCGTTTTATAATTACATTATCAACCGAAATTTAATTTGTGAAATGCTAAACGATTTATTGACAAGTGATAGGGGTAGAAAACCTCACTATCGGCACATAATGATGTTCACCCAAAATGCCAGCCACACCAACGGGACGAATTGCTTCCAATGACGATGCGAATTGCGATTGACGACCAAGTGCTGGGATAGTTTGACCAAAAGCAGACTGCAACGACGCAAGGGAGGCGGTATCCAGTTGAGAAATTAAACGAATTGTCGCAGGATCAAGCAATGG